TCAGCAGTCTCAGCCAGCCACCCCAGCCTCCAGATCTGTACTTCAGCCCCAGCACTGCCACTGTAGAGTGCTGCCTCAAGCCCTGCACTGTGGCTCAAAGCCCCAGGTGCTTCACCACCCTGCGTTCTACTTGCTCTGCTACCCCTGCCACCCTGCGTTCTGCTTGCTCTGCTACCCCTGCCACCCTGCACTCCACTCGCCCTGCCACCCCTGCCGCCCTGTGCTCCACTAGCCCTGGCTCCCTGCTGGCCCCGCCAGACTTGCTGCCCTGCACTCACTGACCTTGTTGTCCTGTGCTTGCTGGCCCTGCCATCCTGCTGGCCCTGCCAGACTTGCTGCCCTGCACTCACTGACCTTGTTGTCCTGTGCTTGCTGGCCCTGCCATCCTGCTGGCCCTGCTGCCCCCGGCCACAAGGATGGGGGGGGGGGGGAAGGGGGGGAGGGGGGGGGGGGAGATAGGTGGGTGGGGGGAGTTGAAGAGGAGGCAGTCCCTTACCTTACCATGACTCAGGGCTGGGAGAGGCCAAGCTGGGAGTGCTGGGGTATGCTGGGATTGCCATTCCTAAGTGATGCGATCACGTGACATTGTGCTTTATGACCACATTGCTTAGCGACAGAAATTCAAGTCCCAATTAATGTTGTAACTCGGGGACTACTGGTATTTATATCATACATATTTACATCAAGCATATCTCTAAATGCAGGTGAACTGAAAACAGGCATTGTAGGTTTATTTTGCAAGACAAAATCACACATGATTTAAAAATTGGGGGGGAGGAGCAGATTCCTTATTTGTGCTAGACAAAAATGGAAGAGAGACTGAATTTCATCTTCCTCATTCTGAAGCAGATAAATGGTGAGGACAAAATAATAGGGAACAAACGCCTGTTGCAGTTTGTTAATCCTATGAATTATTACTCCCCCCTCCAGCAGATGGAAAAAAAGCAGAGGTAGAATTAAGTGAAGTTGGAATTAAGATACTTCTTATAAATAGGTATGAACCATGTATAAAAATGTAAAGAAAATTTTCTTTTTTTTTTTAATTCACAAGTTGATACAGCAGAAGTCCAGAACAAATTTAAAACTGGAGAATGAGAAATTGATAGAAACAGCACTGGAGAATTTTGTTCATTCCTATTCAGCACATAATAAAATTATAGGAATTACACTACTGCGTTTAAAACATAAGTAATGTTTTTGCTTATGCCTAAAAGGAAGTACTTTATTTAGGAAAACATTTCTTTGTGATTGTAATCTGTTTAGTACAATACCACTATTCAGTAACATACTAAAATTTGGAAGGAATCCTCCACTAATAGTAATGATTAAAAAAAAAAAAGAACAAATTATACCTACTTTTCTATAGGTGGCAGACAGCAGTCTTCTACTCTCCCTGGAACTAGATCGGGACACTTGTTTAGATGAAATCATCTCCTTCTCACATTTTTCTACCTCTTTCTTCAGTTTTTCTCTTCGTTGCTGATCTGAAACTTAAGAGGAAAATATCAGCCAGGATTAAAATACCAGGATTAAAGTTTTTTTTTTAAAAAAAACTTAAATTACAGGATTACTATGTTTGGGTAGACAAAAGTTAAACATCGTTTTCAGCTAATGCCATTTTTTGGCAGTAATAAATATGAGATGGTGAGAAAGTTGGCAATGCTCTATAGACACTATATTATTAAAACTTCAGTAAGTATATTCAATATTAACTAATTTAAACATAATGCATTATTTTGGAAGATAAAGGCAACTTTCTTAATGATAATAAATTCCAAATGTAATCATGAGGACAGGATTTAATATTTACTCAGGTTGAACTGTTATTTTATTACATGAAAAAAGTTAATGTCAGTTGTTTTTGAAAAATGAGTTGATGTTCCTCTAAAATAAATTATTTTTTCTGTAAAATACATAAAAAACCAAAATATTATATGGAACTGAGTCATTCATTCTGTTCTAAGTCTGTGAAGTTCACTTACGAGAAATGATCCATCAATCATTATTTTGAATGATACAACAATTATCTATTTATTAAATTATTAGTACCTCTTTGGCTTTATCACCTGATGTTCCATCTGTAATCTGATATACTATCTTGTTCTTGAATGCATATATAAAAAAGATAGTGAATGTCTACATTATGATAAATGAACATATAAATTTACAGTGGTACCTCAGGATACGAACGCCTCTACTAACGAACTTTTTGGGTTACGACCAGCTCCAGCCGCAAAAATTTACCTTGATGTGCAAACTCCGCCTCGGGGTACGGTCATTTTTCCGCCCTGACACATGGTCCGCGGCCATTTTTTCACCCCTGACACGTGGTCCGCGGCCATTTTTCCGCCCGACACGTGGTCCGCGGCCCTTTCCCGCCGCGCCGCACGGTGCCTGGCCCTTTTCCCGCTGCGCTGCGCCCGGCCCTTTTCCCGTCCCTGACGTGTGGTCCGCGGACGCCAGAACGGATTAACGGTAATTACCTTGAACCTTATGGGAAAATTTGCTTCAGGGTGTGACCAAATTCGGAGGGTGGAATGGATTAACACTGAACCCTATGGGGAAATTTGCATCGGGTTACGACCAACTCGGGATACGCCCAGAGTCACGGAACGGATTAAGTTCGTATCCCGAGGTAACACTGTATTCTACTTAATGACCCAAATCCAAAGTAAGAGTATCGCTTTAAGTTTGAATTCAAATTAATGGGTTAGGGATTAGTCACAATGGGAATGTCCTACTGATTTTCTATAACAATAACCATAGCTAGTATGATAACATAAGATAAGATGATAACTTTGATAGTCTCTTTGGTCAGCCAACTTTGTACGACCTGACTTCAGCTTGTGGTACATAACTGGGAGAAGGCAGAATTTGTTCTGTTGCATTTTCTGTTTCAGTTAATTTTCATTCAGTTATTTGCAGCACATTTCTTTCTCCAACCTATCCAGATTGTTTTAAATTTTCTTTCTATTTCCTAGGATGTTAGATATCCCACTCAATGTTGTAACATCTACAAATTTGATAAACGTGATCTGCTCCAGAATTTTCCCAGGTAGGAATGTCAGACTGATCAGTCTGTCATTTCCTGGATTTTCCAGTCCCACATTTTAAAATAATTTTTATTGCCCTTGACAAACCAAGAGGAAAAAAACCACAAACTAAAATAAACTAAAAAAAGAAAAATACATATTAGAATATGAATGAATGTGTATATGTGTGTGTGTGCATAACAAAAAGCCAAGTTCCTAGACAACAAATTAAACATTGACCAGACAAAATAATATTGATTGATCTTTCCATAATGTTCTTCTTTTCATTCTTTTCTTCTTTTTTGGAGAAAGGGACATTTTCTTTCCTCCAGTCATCTGCATTTTACCAGTTCTTCAGGATCTCAAAAATAATACAGAAAGGCTCAACCAGACCAACAATTAATTCCAGTGTAATTTCAGTGTAATAGCGTAATTTCAGTACACTAGGATAAAATTTATCAGCTTGTGAAGATTGAAACTAATTCAAAGAGGTACTTGTATTTCCTGACCATGTTTCCTCAATCTCAAGCTTCAGTTTTATCTCTTGATCCTATCCTTCATAAGTTCACAATATCCTGGTGGAACACCCAATTTTTTTGTTGAATAAGACTGAACCAAAGTAACAGCTGAATTGCTCTGCCTTTTGTTGGTTACCTCAGAGCATTTTGCCATCTTCATTAAGCATCCAGTATAATTCTTTTTTCTTTATTTTGAACATATCTAAAGAAGCCCTTGTTGTCATTCTTAGACCCCTTTGCTAACTTCAGCTTATGTTGAGCTTTGGTTTACCTGATACCAGATCTATATTCCAGGATACCTGTCTACTTTTATCTGTGACTTGGTCATCTTTCCTGTATGTATACTTTTCTGTTTTCAAATCTTCATTAAGACATTGGAGGTACCAGAAAAAAAAAATTAAATAGCTAAAGAAGGATTAAAATGCATTCCTATGTGGGTGAACTGTGTCCTACCCTGCTAGATTTCCAAGACAAATAATGGTACATTTCAATTAACTATCCAATCCTGATTAAGTCCTATTACAATTTGTGTTGCTGATTCATAACCAAATTCTTGCTTAACGTACAGATGTTTCTGTTTTTACCTATAATACTTTTTGTGGACTGCACTTTTGCCCTAAATAATTTTCAGTAGTCTTATGCTTGTCGTCATACCATTTTATAAGACAATGTTTCATTATATAAAATCATAGACCTGAAAGGATTGGAAATACTTTCAAAATCATCTAATTCAATCCTCTTCCCAGTGGAGGAATCCTCAACTGTAGCATCCCCAACAGAGAGCTTTTCAGGCTCTTTTCAAACACTGCCAATGAAGAAGAGTCCACCTTCCAAGGCCATCTCTTACATTGATTGATTGTTTTAAACAATATCTATAGCTGCCCATCTCACCAAAGTGACTCTAGGTGGCATACAGTTAAAACCAAAATAAATAACACAATTTAGAAAGCAAAATACAGAAAAGCCATAATACTGTTGAACAGTATTACTGAACAGTATTGGATCGTTATTACTATCAATGTTGAACAGCTCTTGCTATTAAGGTTATCATTACATTTGACATGTATTTCTATAATATGGTGATACAAAACAAACACAGATTTTTATCTATCTATCTATCTATCTATCTATCTGTCTGTCTGTCTGTCTGTCCGTCCGTCCGTCCGTCCATCCATCCATCCATCCTCACTAGACATACAGTCTGCACCATACTGGGTTGAAACATCACAGTTCAGTGTATCTTGTGTCATGGCTAATTGTGTTTATCCACTGACAGACAGCATCTACCAGAAATAAAGGCCTTGCTCTACATTTCAAATCAACTTAAAAATTTGAAGATAGGAGGAAATGAGAGGAAATGTTATTGCACAAGCAGAAAAGTGCAACTAAGAATAATTGTGGATGTAATTTATAGCAAATGGATGTTTTAGCAATACTTTCACTGGATCTTTTAACCTATGCAATGCCATTTGCACCAAGTAATACATTGGCTGAATCCAGGTATATATAAGTAAAGAAACAGTGATCTATTCACTATTGCTGAATAGTGAATAATATTCACTATTATTATTATTATTCACTATTATTATTAATATTATCACATATTATTATTCACTATTATAATAATATTCCTCCTGGTTCATTCCTCATTCACTTGGTCTTTCTGAGGAATGGTTTCTATAATATCAAGTTTTAATTGCTGCTGTTGTTAACATTTGCCAAGTTTACAAAATAGTAACCTAAAGATAGTTATGCGCAAAACTGCGTTTGTCCTGGGTCTTCCTCTTTTGAAAGATTTATTTTCAGAGAAAAAGATAACCATTCCTAGAAAAGCTGGATCAGTGAGACTTGGAAGAAAAACGAAACATTCTGGGACCAGAACACAGAGTTCGCACATTCCCATGTACAGATCCTGAAGATGAAGTTTTGGTCTACAAAACTGATAAGGAAAGTATTTAATTTTAAAAAGTTAAAACTTATTTAATTAAAAAATAAGATTCCCAAGCATTTTGAAACTCCTTTGTTTTAATTTCATTCTCTAAATCCTCTGAAATGTCATAAGCAAACAAACCAAACTGAACTTCTGTGTGCCTCCCCCTGTACTATACAGTATAGTGTACTGTACTATATTTCTGGCTCTGAGCTAAAGCAAAAAACTGTTGATTGATCTCCAGTGAAATCCTGGATCAGATATGAAGGAGAATCAAGCAAACAAAAGAATTGCAAATTGAAAAATAGAGAAAAAATACATTGTTGTGGGGTTTGTTATGTGCTCTTGCAAGCAGGAATGCAATTAGATGCTATATTTTCAGGTGTAGGAGTATAAAATACAATATTCGTGGTGTACTTTGGGAACATTTAAAAATTATTAACAAATCAAAGAAAATACTTACATTTTATGCTGTTTAATCTGCTTTTTGGTAATGAACAGTCTATAGCAGCTGAAAACAAACAACGCAATTAAAGTGAATTAAAAAGTAACTTATTTTGCAATAGCCTTTGCTTGACATTGGCTATCAATATGAAACTACAAAATGAAACTTTGAAGCACAACTTGTTCATGCTTTTAAATAGGTTGTTTTTTAATTAACTACCTGTCTACCTACTTTCTTACTATACTTGTATGCCACCCATTCTTGAGGCTCCAGACAGCTAATAAAAAATTATTTTTAAAAAAAACCCAAAACCCACATGAATAAGCCAGGCATGACATAGAGCCCACTTCCATATTATAAAGCTCGTCTTCCTG